GTGTTTCGTAGTTCAAAACCAATACTTTATACGAAAGGAAAGAAGAGAGGAAATTTTTGTGTAAATGTTTAGTCTATAAGATGAACATGGAATATACATTCAAACGACCTTTTATTGACATTGCTATCTATCATAGTTAAGGAAAGTTATTGTTCATTAGATGGATGATAATCATTTCGCTTTTTTTTATCACATTCTACAATACGTTATCTTTTCATCATAGGACATTCGTTCACAAGTTTATTTTCATGTAGAAATAAATTGTATCGTACAGTTGTACTTCGATAAAGTTTCCGAATACTTCCTTTTTGTTTGACTTTCTTTTAAATACTAAATCTAAGGTTGTAGAAGAAGTTTAGCAACAACATGTTTTTATTCTTTTTTTTTCTATAATATTCAATAATTAACTCAATTTCAGATATCGATTTTAATATCTAATGAAATTTTCTTTTACCAAGATTCTATCAAAGTACTAAGATGACAAAGTTTCTAAAAAAATTCAACAAGATAGTTTTCAGGTCTCAGAAAACTTTGCAAGAGGAGATCAGAAGAAATAGAGCCGACACCCAATTTTTGCTCTTTAAAAAAATATTGTTTTAAAAACGGGCTACGATAAAACCTTGAAGGAGATGAAAACTATTATGTCGGTTTTTTTTTTCGGCATCTTGATAAGAGAGGACTTCATTAGCTGTTAAAATTACTATTTGCAATAATGTTAATTGCTTAACATTGTCGGAAAAAATCAAAAATACCTTGTTGATAACTTTTCTTCCATCATTTTATGTTAACGTTTAAATTTTTATAGAATTTTATGTATAATGCATGAAAATAATACTCACTCTTTTACTACATTGAATAATAAACATGATAATAATCATTCATTAATTAATAACTTAAATTATACTTCAAAATGTGCTGAAATAGATGAATTTGTACGTGAAGTAGATTATTGGGTAACGATTATTCAATGTTGCATGGTTTTATTTGGAGTATTAGGAAATGGTCTTGCACTTATTGTTATTAATCGTCGTTCATTACGTAATACATCATCAAGTGTATTTATAACATATTTAGCTATATTTGATTCATTAGTTCTTATTGCACATTTTACATACTCAGTGATATGGCATCAATATTTAGTATTTCTTTCATCTTGTGTTATTATTTATTTACACGATTTCTTTACACTTACTAGTGTTTGGATTATGGTTATCATTACAATAGAACGTTATATTGCAGTTCATTCACCATTTTTAGCGAAACGTTTTTGTACAATAGAGCATGCACGTTATTCAATGTATACGCTTATATTTCTTACATTTATTTTCTCTTCTTTATCATTTCCATTAGTATACACAATAAATAAAAATAAAATAGCGTGTGATCTCCGTGAACAATTTAGAGCATTATTTCGATTTGTACAACCAGCAATGTTTTATTTTATACCTGGTCTTATATTATTAGTGAATTTCTTTACTATTTATGAATTATTAATCGCTAAACGACAACGAACACAAATACTAATAAATCCTGAAAATGCTACAAATTCAATAAATGCAATTTCATTCAATAAACAACAAACAGTATTAACTATTATGCTTGTTACAGATTCATTAAGTTTTTATTTATTTACAATACCAGCTTGTATTAATTATATGCTTTGGAAAAACCTATCATACGATATAGATACTAAAGAATATGAAATGCGTTATTTAATAAGTAATTTAACTAATATCTGGCGTCAAATGAATTCAGCAGTAAGTATACTTATAGAGAAGGAAAGTAAACAAAAATAAATCATTTCACGATCAGAGATTCTGCTGAACTTACCGACTTATCTCAAACTAAGATGTCTTACTTGTGATTTTGTAGAGCAATTTGTGACACATTATACGGTAATGAAGAAATCCAAAAATCTGACTCTGTTAAGTTGTAGTGCTGAATTCTACCTTCATTTTGATACCAATCCCAGTTTTCTAGTGTTAAAAAAGGCAGAGAAATCTGACATACACGAAAACATAAAAACCAAAAACCTATGTGATTTCCTTAAATCTCAAAATAAAATCAATCAGCTATAGCGCATTCGAAAGTACACACATTGCTCTGTCGGATGAGCTACAAATCCAAAAAAATAAACAACTGTGATCAAAATTGAATTTTTTAGGGAAGGAAAAGCTTCCTCAATGTAAAACTTTCTCAATAATGGTACACTATTGAGCTCTACTATATGATTTAGAACAATTGGGACTCATTATCAACTTGCAAGGTTGTCCCTTGAAATATCTTAATTTCCTATTTTAAGAGGGCAGAATATTGATAATAATTTTATGATATTCCCAGTAGTCTCATTAAAATTTTTTATGCATCAATTATCAACGCAAGATTCTAATAAATTGATATAATGCTTTTATACATAGAAAAATTCATTTTTAAAATGAACATGACATATATAAGTTCTTTTTTATTTTCTTGAACAGATCTAACGTGTTATTCATACCAGTTTGTCAGGAATGCTGTGTTGAATGGTAAAGCATAAATCGTTTTTTTTATAGCGTTGTAGAGTATTGTTAAAATATCATCAACGTATGTCAACCTCTCTATACAGGAATACATGATTCAATACTGTACAATATTCGAGAAAGTTTCGTGTTGATATTCATCTGTTCTACAGTACAGAGTTGAACACAGTACAAGGCTGGATAGTCTAAAAATGACCTAAAAGTAAGAAAAAGCGTCAACTTTAAATATGATGAAAGCAACGATCAAAAATATTGATTATGGTATATGAAAAACCATCTAAAACTGTATTGAATTGAGTTTAAAAAATAAAGTTTGCCTAAGTTTATCTTAGAATATGTTAGAAATCAGACCATCTATGAGTATCATATGTATTTCTCTAGGACTATAATCAGTGTCCCGACCATCCACACATGAAAATTTTCATAAAACATTATTATTCACATGCCATTCGATGGTCCGTAAATTTCTCTAGAAAAAGACAAATATGATATGTTGGTTTAAGACAAGCCCATGAATTGTGTGGACTATTTTATCTTTTTCTATTTAGACTAATTTTTTATTTTATTATATTGCTGGTTCAAAATTTCGTGCAGCTTGTTTAGAAACATGGACTGATATCTCTGACTATATACAAACAAAATTTGATTGTAATGGTCAACGATCACGAAGTTTACGTAATCCACCAACAAATCAAAGATGTGCCCAGCATCGAATGTTAATGTCCTGCCAGCTCCGTACTACGGATCTTACTAATCCACCTCGCTGATCCCCGTAGATTATTTTTCTGAATATTAACTGCATCTGTCCCGCTCTGCTCATCATCCTTTCGTCCCATCCACCTTTGCATTTTCACGGTGTGGGTGTGAATGTGGGGTGTGGGGTGTGTGTACGATGTGGGTATGGGTGTAGGTGTGGGTGTGGGTGGTGAGAGTGTAGGTGTGGGACGACGTGTGAGATGTGGCTGTGACTGTGTGACATCATTCCATCCAAAGCCACTCCCACACCCACACCCTGATCGTGCAGTGTATACAATAAACGATTCTAACTCTCTATTGTAGCTACTAAATGAAGTATTGAATTGTAACATAAGTTCTGAGAATCTAGAATACTCTTGCAAAAAATCGCTTAATTTTTCCTAACATTACGTCATGTCACGTATCGAATTACATAATACGAAGGTAATGGTCAATATCAAGTTTATTGACTTGAGAGAACATAAATAAAGAAGATAGCGTTTATTTGTTGTAAATATAATAGATGACCGAAAAATTCATATTCGTCATTGTATGCTATACGAATTTAATCGAGGGTCAACGGCAACGGCAGCAATAAGGAATATTTGTGTTGCATACGACGAGGAGATCGCCGACGATTCTGCATGTAACCGTTGGTTGGTTAAGTTCCATTTCGACGATACCACCTTGACGGATAAAGCTCGCTCAGGGCGACCTGTGGAGTTTGACGGCAAAGCGTTAGAGACTTTGCTCCAAATTAATCCACGTCGAAAAACCCGCGAATTGGCCGCGCAACTTAACAGTTCTCCTATGACAGTGGATCATCATCTTCACGCTCTAGGCACGGTCCATACGTACGGAAACTGAGTTCTAAAACAATTGTCCACAAACAATTTGGCTCAGCGAGTATCGACTTGTGCTTCGTTGTTGTTCCGACAAAATCGTGATCCATTTTTGGAAGGAATCATTCCTGAAGATAAATAATGAATCTGCTACGTCAAATTTCATCGTAGAAAGCAGTGGCTCGATTCTAACTAAAAACTATTACCGGATGTAAAACCAGATTTACACTCAAAGAAGATAATGTTGTACGCCTGGTAGGATATGAAGGGTATCATCTATTTCGAGCTCTTAGATACCAATCAATAGGTTATCGCCGATGTTTACTTTCAACAGTTGCAGCGTTTGCATGAAGCTCTACCTCAAAAGCGACCGGTCTTCGCAAATCGGAATAACGTCATTCTCTTGCATGCCAATGGAAGACTACATGGCACAAATTTGACTCAAAATAAAATTAAACAATTGGAAGTGGACGTTCTTGAGCACGCACCGTACTGACCAGACCTTGCATCATCTGATTATTATTTGTTTCGATCCCTTCGAAACCATTTGTGCGAAAAACAATACGAAGACTTGCATGAGATCAAATCCGACTGCACCTTCTTCCTCGAATCACAACCGACTAGTTTCTACAAACGTGGATTGAACAATTGCCAGCAAGATGGGCAAAGATTGTCTGAATCTTTGATGGACGTATCAAGAGGATCCTAGAGATTGTAATTATGGGGCTCTATTTGAAAAAATATCAAACAATTGAAAAAAAAGAGACTCCTTCATATTAGGAGTTAACAAAAAAAGCAATACGGGTAAAGACTTCGTCGTAGTTTTTCGAAGTCCATGGAACTGCTGTTTTCTTCTTACATTCATCTTCTATCCACCTCTTAGAGTTAGCCACCTGGATGATTCTTATTCTTTTACAATAAGATCAAGTGCTCGAGATAAATAACCACTTCGATATCGATTTTCATTTTTAACTAAATTGATCACATCACTAACAACTTCATCGACATTTACTCTAGTTGCTCCCTCATGTATACAAGAATCACCTGTATCCCCAGGACTCCATAATGCATGTTGTAGATTGAATACTTCTGCCCAACGTCGATAAAAGAATGTCAATATACGACAACCAGGTGGAGTGATTTCATAGAGAATTGCACCTGGTCGCATAAATACAGTATTTGATAAACCAACTCCATGAACTTCAATAAAAACACGAATTGATCGAGCCATACGTGCTGATTCATAAAGATCATCATTAAAATCAAATTGTTTTGGCCAAACACGTAAATAAGGATTTTTATCATCTGGAAATGCTTTCAATAGTCCTTGTACTATTTCATCAGCATTGATTAATTCTCGACGACCAATACCAGCACGATTTAAAACAGCAATATATTCTCCACTAAATGTTCTTTCGCTTGATGATTGACTAAATGACTGATTTTGATGACATAGTCCATAACAAATAGGTATTTGTTCTGATTTATGAGTCTCTTGTAATTTCTTTTGAATAGGTGTCAATTCAAATTTAGAATATAATTCAAAATTATTCAATATCCATTCTGAAAATGTTAAATAAGCTCGTCGATATTCTTCTATATTAAATGGATAATAATTTATTAATCTATTTGGTTCTTGAAAAATACCCCAACAAGGTGATCGTTTATATGGTAATCCAGTGAAAATCATATGTTTAAACATAATTGTTGCTTGATCAAATGATTTATAGGTTAATAATGGATAAATGGAAAACATTGCATTAAGTACATTAGGCCATCGAGCTTTATGTTGATATGTTCCATCTGAAAGTCGTTTCATAGGGTGCCATAAATTACGTCCATGATCAGTATCCATTTTGGATGAATAATAAAGTTGAATATTACTTGGATCAATAAATGTTTGATGAGATTGAATTTTGAGAGAGAGTCCAAAACAGAGGACCACCTCTTTCAAGAAACCCATGAACATAATTAAAATCAGGTGCACCACCGACATGAATAGGTTGTGTTAAAATAGCTGAAATACCAAGTTCTTTTATCATTGATATATTATCAAGAATGTGAACTTCAATTGGACCATGTGAAGACATGAATCGATTTCGACTCATCAGGGTGTGGGTGTGGGTGTACGTGTATTTAGAGAGAAAACTCACAACCACATCCCCCACCCCTACCCACCCACACCCACACCCTCAAGTTATTTTAATGCCTGGAACTACTTTAATTGTAAAAAGGATTAAACAGTATGCACGTAACAGTAATATCACTCTCGTAGAAATAGAAGAAACAGTTGACAATAAGCAAAACGAAGTTGCATAAACTACCTCAAAACCACAGACTTCATTATCTACCGATCATGATAGTGAATACTAGTTTTTAATCAGAAGAATTGTTACTAATACTCACAATTTTTTTCTCTTATAAACAAAAAACTCAGTCTTCAGAAAAACACCTATCTGAAACTCGAACATATAAAAATAGTATTGACAAACGAAAACAAAACACAGTATAACTCTATGAAAGATAAAAAGCTAAGGGAAACTTTAATTATGTTGCACAGACTTTTATCTAGAAATTAAGTTCTCTTAAGGATTCAATGCATAAAACGAACCATGAAATTAATCTTTTTATCGTGATAATTCTTTATTCATTGAATTGAATGTGACATTGTTAAGAACTTTTAAATTTAACTTTAGGTGCATCTTCATCAAAATCGAATCATGATGATTCTCAAAACACAACACATGCAAATTCTGGTACGTGAAAACCTTTGTCGGAATACTGATAAAGTTAGATTTTTTTGCCTGACTACTTAAAAATTACTTGGTTTCAAATTTGTTATCAGTTTAGAATACCAACAAAAAGATAAGATATTTTCGAAATAACTATACAGAAAATTATCGTATCCTGAAACAAAAAAATAACGGAATCGATTACTGATAAGAGTAGTTCTATACAAATCTCTATTGAGAATAGGTGAATTGAATAATTTC